AATCTTCACTTTTTTCATTCTTTTTACTGCTCCAGTGGTTTGAGTTTTACTGCCCCGTGTTCAAGTTCACTGATCCTTTTTATGCTGTCATCTAGTCTGCTGTTGAACCCCTCTAGTGTATTTTTCAGTTAGGTTATTGTATTTTTCAGCTCTGTGACTTTTTTCATACTTCCTTATATTTTCTCTTTGTTGAAGTTCTGTGTTCATCCATTCTTTTCTCGAGTTGAGTGAGCATCTTTATGACCATGATTTTGAACTCTTTTTAACAGGTCAATCACTTATCTCCATTTCATTAATGACTTTTTCAGAGGTTTTATCTTGTTCTTTCATTTGGAGCATATTCCTCTACTTTTCCATCTTAATTTTAGACTCTCCTGGTTGGTTTCTGTGCATTAGATAAAAAAGCCACCTCTCCCAGTCTTGGAGGAGTGACCTTGTGTAGGAGATGAATCTTACCATTCAACCCTGCCTTAATCTTGGTTGTCTCTCAAACCTTTGTGATTGTCCCTCAAACTTCTGTGATTGTCCAAACAGACTGTTTTATTTTTAGTGGCTTCCAGTAGTTGCAGGTGGGCCCAGACCTATCAGTATTCTATAGGGAAGGGTCTCAGTCACCAGCTTTTAAAATATGTAAATATATAGTTTTGTGGGATGACTAGCAGTAAGTCCCACTGTCTACCAGAGCCAGGTGATCTAGAGGTGTCCCTTGGGCAGCAGTGACAAAAATCAGGATACCAGATGAGTATACAGGTTCCTTTCTGGAAGATACCAGAGACTTGGAGTGAGGCAGAGGGTGAACACACAGATGACGTCCGCTGGCTTCTGTCCCCAGAGTGTGCCAAAGCAGAAGCTGGCCCCTTAGGCTGAAGCTCCAGGAAAAGCAAATAGGCCTCTTTCACAGAAAGACTGAGGGTGTGTTTCAGTTGGCTGGCTGTGTTGTGCCCCAGGGTTGGTAGCCAGCCAAGAACTGTGTTTGCCCCCAGAGCTAGGTGATCAAGAGGTGTCCCCTGGGTGGCAGCCACAAAAGCCAGGGCACCAGACACACATAGAAGCTACTCTCCAAGAAACACTGGTGCTTTGGAACACAGCAGAGGGACAGCACAAAGACAGTGCCTGCCCTGTGAGGTCTCTGGAGAGGATTACCGTGGACCCTTATATGTGTGTTTAATTAGAAGCCTGCCTCTTAGGTTGCAAGCTATAACTAGTTTTTAAAAACTATTTAAAAATGTTAAATATGCACGTCAGAGGGCTCAGCCCTTCCACTCCTAGGTATTTAACTAAGAGAAAGAGGAAGGCATATATGCACACACTTACACATGAGTGTTTACATCAACTTTACTTGTACTGGTCTAAAACTAGAAACAACCTATTTCCATCAATAGGTGAAGAGATAAACCATGTTGTATCTGCACAGTGGAATACTAGTCAGCAATAAAAAGGAATGACCTGTTGCTAGACACAACTTCATGGATAAATGTGAAAATAATTATGCTGAGTGAAAAGCCAGACCGAACAGAAAAACCCTAAATTGTATGATTCCATTGTATAAAAGTCTAGAAAATGTAAACTGTAGTGACAGCAGATCAGTGGTTGCTTGGGAATGGGGCTAGAGGGTGAGGGAGGGATGAATTATTAAGGAGCATGAGGAAATTCTGGAGGTGACGGATATGTTTATCATTTTGAGGTAATGGTGTCTTGAGTGTACACATGTCAAACCTCATCAAGTTGTACATCAAATGGTATGTCAGCTATGTCTCAGCAGAGCTGTAAAAAAATGAAAATTTAACTGCAGTGGTTACGTGGGAAAGGCAGAGGGACGTACGGGGGAGGAACACTTCTTTTTTCAGTTATATATATTCTTTTCCATTATGGTTTATCACAGGATATTGAGTATAGTTCCCTGTGCTATACAGTAGGACCTCATTGTTTATCCATCCTGTATATAATACTTTGCATCTACTAATCCCCAACTCCCAGTCCTTCCCCTCCACCCCCCTTTGGCAACCACAAGTCTGTTCTCTATGTCTGTAAGTCTGTTTTGTAGATATGCTCATTTGTGTCGTATTTTAGATTCCACATATAAGTGATATCATATGGTATTTGTCTTTCTCTTTCTGACTTTGCTTAGAATGAGAATCTCTAGGTCCATCCACATTGCTGCAAATAGCATTATTTCATTCTTTTTTTATGGCTGAGTAGTATTCCACTGTATATATGTATCACATCTTTATGCATTCATCTGTCGATAGACCTTTAGACTGTTCCCATGTCTTGGCTATTGTAAATAGTGCTGCTATGAACATAGGGGTGCATGTATCTTTTCAAATTATAGTTTTGTCTGGATACATGCCCAGGAGTGGGATTGCAGGATCATATGGCAACTCTATTTCCAGTTTTTTGAGGAACCTCCACACTGTTCTCCACAGTGGCTGCACCAGTTTACATTCCCACCAACAGTGCAAGAGGGTTCCCTTTTCTCCACACCCTCTCCAGCATTTATTGTTTGTAGACTTTTTGATGATGGCCATTCTGACTGGTGTGAGGTGGTACCTCATTGTAGTTTTGATTTGCATTTCTGTAATGATTAGCGATGTTGTGCATCTTTTCACGTGCTTATGGGCTGTCTGTATTTCTTTGGAGCAGTCTATTTAGGTCTTCTGCCCATTTTTCAATTGTGTTGTTTTTTTGTTGAGTCGTATAAGCCGTTTGTATATACTGGAAATTAGGCCCTTGTCAGTGGCATCATTGGCAAATATTTTCTCCCAGTCTGTAGGTTGTCGTTTTGTTTTGTTTATGGTTTTGTTTGATTTCTGTTGCCTTGGGAGCCTGACCTAAGAGAACAGTGGTACAATTTATGTCAGAGAATGTTTTTGCCTGTGCTCTTCTAGGAGTTTTATGGTGTCATGTCTTATATTTAAGTCTTTAAGCCATTTTGAGTTATGTTTTGTGAGGGTGTGTTCTAACTTCATTGATTTGCATGCCACTGGGGAAGGAACACATTTTTAATGATACTGATTGGTGTTCATATTGTTACATAAATGAGTAAATAAGAGGGCCAACCTGGAAGAGAATACAAAATGAAAGCAATTTCAAATTGCTGTCCACCACCAGCACCTCCTGTAGTTGACGTTCAGAGCTGCAGCCACCTCTGCAGCACGGCTCTTCGCAGAGCTGGCTGGCTGCGGGCACCTGGCCCGGCTGCTGCACCCACTGTAGCATCTAGCATGCTGCACACAGTCTCACACTGCCAGGTGGACTGTGGGCGCAGGGAAGAGAGTCCAGCTTGCTCTGCATCTCTTGCTGGCCCCGTAAGCAGAGCCTTACATTTCAGCATGTTGTAGTCTCTGAATCTCCTCTCAAATTCATCTTGGTTGTGGCCAAAACAGCACTTAATATTTTTCACACCATGGGTTATGTGTCATTAACAAAAATCTGAGACTTGGGTTGATATTTCTTACTGGCATGTTCTTTAAAGGCACGTGGAAATATATTTAACATGCTTTCCACTTCCTAGATTTATTCCAGTCAAACCCAATTTTGTAGTAAAAACCCAGGAGGAGGGCTTCCCTGGTGGCGCAGTGGTTGAGAGTCCGCCTGCCGATGCAGGGGATGTCGGTTCGTGCCCCGGTCCGGGAGGATTCCGTGTGCCGTGGAGCGGCTGGGCCTGTGAGCCATGGCCGCTGAGCCTGCGCGTCAGGAGCCTGTGCGCCGCAGCGGGAGAGGCCTCAGCGGTGAGAGGCCGGCGTACCGCAAACCTACAAACAAAACCCAGGAGGAATTCTTTTGAACTTCCTGATTGACCACATTCTTGCCTCTTTGTCTTTCTGCAGATCTGAGTTGTATCCACTCTGATCAGCACTCACTACTCACTTAGGACCTTGCAGACGCAGGACTCCAGAGTAATCAGACTCCTCAAGTGAGTAGTCCCAGCATCACCAGTCTTTGGAACCGGGGATGTTCTTGTCTAACTGAAATCACTGTGGGCATGCCTACGGAACCCTGGGTGGGGATAAGCACACTTCTCAGAGGGCACAGACTATAAAGTGGTATGAAAGACTATATAGAGATTATATAGTATTGAATGTCTTTTATAGTAACTACTGTACTAATGAAATAATATAGATGTTCAGATGTTAAATTTTAATTCCAGTACATCTTAAGCCAGTGGGATACATTCTGGAGCTTAGAATTGGCTGAGGAAGGTGAAGTAATTTAGCCACACCCAGGGTCAGGTCAGCTAAAATGCTCATTAACTTAGACGAATGAATTTTTGAGACCATGGCCTTCAAATTGCCTAGGATTGTTTCCATGGAAATGACATAGCACAGGTATTCAAATGTCACAAATATGATAGAGTTAGCTGTTTTTTAAATTATAAAGGGCTAAGGTGACCATATGTCCTGCCTTTTCTGTAACTGATCCAATTCAGTATCTCTCTAGTCTACAAAGGCCATGCATTGGACGTATTACCTAAAGCGATATCGTTTTTATACTTTGTAAGTATAACCTATGTACGATCTCTATGTCTAGATTTAGGTTTAGGAAAATATGGCCATCATGGCTGTGGAGGTAGGCAAGAAGTATATGAAAGAACATGGCCACAGAAAGGATCACAAGTTCTGATTTCTTCCTGATTACCAGGGAACACCACTCCCTTCAATAAGAGCAAAACCCTGCAAGGTTGTTCAGGGAGTAGTTGGGCTTCTTTCTGTCTTTAACTTTTCCTAAAATAGGATGACTTTCTATTTAGTGCTTTAAAAAAAAAAAAAAATCACCAGAGTGCTGACTTTTACATTGGTTTTGCATATTGGCATCTTAGACTACTTTTCCTAACTGTTAATCAATGGAAATGATTTGTCTACGTCCTGGAAAGAACACACTATTATAGAAAATAAGCATTTCTAATCCTTTTGCCTTCCCATTCCACAAACACTGCAGAAGGCTGTGATGAATCAGTAGCATCTGAAGTACTGACATATACCTGTATTTTGCAGGAAAGTGATTGTAATTTCCAGTTCCTTGGTGGAGGAAAACAAAACACTCTGGTCTTACTTCCAATGATGCAAGTGTGATTGCTGGCGTCTTCATGAGCTCCAGAGGTCACAGCACGCTACCACGGACTCTCATGGCCCCTCGGATGATTTCTGAGGGAGACATAGGAGGCATTGCGCAAATCACTTCCTCGCTCTTCCTGGGCAGAGGCAGTATAGCCTCCAACCGGCACCTCCTCCAGGCTCGTGGCATCACCTGCATTGTTAATGCTACCATCGAGATCCCCAATTTCAACTGGCCCCAGTTTGAATATGTTAAAGTGCCTCTGGCTGACATGCCTCATGCCCCCATTGGACTATACTTTGACACTGTGGCTGACAAGATCCACAGCGTGAGCAGGAAACACGGGGCCACCTTGGTGCACTGTGCTGCAGGGGTCAGCCGCTCGGCCACGCTCTGCATCGCATACCTGATGAAATACCACAACGTGTGCCTGCTGGAGGCGTACACCTGGGTGAAAGCCCGGAGGCCCGTCATCAGGCCCAACGTGGGCTTCTGGAGGCAGCTGATAGACTACGAGCGCCAGCTCTTTGGGAAGTCGACAGTTAAAATGGTACAGACACCTTACGGCATAGTTCCAGACGTTTACGAGAAGGAGTCCCGACACCTGATGCCTTACTGGGGGATATAAGTCACCAAAGCCTGCATCAGCAGCCCCTCGAGCAGTGCCAGCATCTGCTGCACGCGTCTGCTCCCCTCTTCACCTTTCTTTCCAAATGGTTGACTTTTGGTTCTCCCTGAAGTGTTTTTTACACTGGGTGTTCATGTCTATCTTAAGAGAGAAGGGAGGGAGGGGAGGAACGTAAGAAGAATGCTTACATGGCTACTGACATTTTTAAAACGAACATTTTGGAATAGTGTTTATGAAAATCTTTAACTGGCTTTTAATCGTTTTTAACAATTTGAACAGTTTAATAAACTGGTTCTGCTCTATTCTCAATCCCATGCCTTTTGGCACCATGGGAGGAGCTCAGTGCAAAAATCACTTTGGGCCCCGATTAACCCTTTAGATACAAGCTTTGCCCAAGGCTGCCGACCAAACACATGCTTAGGGAACATTGATACCAGTGTCAGTCTCTACTGGATCAGCCCTCTTTCCTTTCCTCCTATTATTTAGTGACTCTGTAAGTTAAAAAACAAGCCTTTATTATTTAGCTGTTAATTATAATGAGGTCTGCAAACACCCTGTCGGAATCAATGTGCCCCAGGACTATATTAGCATTATTTTTAATAAATATATCTGCTTAACATATTGGAATTTTTACTGATAAGAATTTCAGGGTGTGTGTGTGTGTGTGTGTGTGTGTGTGTGTGTGTGTGTGTGTGTGTGTGTGTGTGTGTGTGTGTGTGTGTGTGAAGAGAGGTGCTCTCCAACAGCTATTAAAATACGGCTCCTGTGATAATTATGAATGCTCCTTAAATCAGACATCCCACTTGAATCATGTCAGCACTGCCCATCCTTGCAGATGGGCAGATATTAACCTCATTCAGTGTTGGAACAGTAGAAAACAGCACAGTGTACACTCTAATAAAAGGTACAGTTTTCAGTTGTCTCTTGGGAACTGGAGGGCACCAAAGCAGTGAGTCCTCCATCAAAGAAACTTTGTTTTTTTTTTATAAACTTTAAAAACATATTCATTTTTGGCTGCACTGGGTCTTTGTTGCTGTGCGGGGGCTTTCTCTAGTTATGGCCAGTGGGGGCTGCTCTTCGTTGCGGTGCACAGGCTTCTCATTGCAGTGGCTTCTCTTGTTGCGGAGCACGGGCTCTAGGCACACGGGCTTCAGTCATTGTGCACGTGGGCTCTGGAGTGCAGTCTCTCTCAGTAGTTGTGGCACACGGACTTAGTTGCTCTGCGGCATGTGGGATCTTCCCGGACCAAGGCTTGAACACATGTCCCCTGCATTGGCAGGCGGATTCTTAAGCACTGCGCCACCAGGGAAGCCCCCAGAAACTGGCTGGGACTTGGTAGAAGTTTCTATTAGCTCTTCTCTATTGCACGCTCCTGGGAAACCACTGGGCGTTAACAGGTTGCTCCTTGCTTTTATAGGGGAACTGCTTGTCCCAGCAATGGCTTTGTTTTTACTTCATTTCCTTGCTTATCATCTGTAGAAAAATTTCCTAGATTTTCAGTCTGTTTGTTTGGCAAGAAGCCCTACATGTAATGCCAGTGGCCACATATTTATACACATTATATCCTCCAGATTTTACCTGGTTTGTGGCAATGGTTTCCCTCTAAATTCCACCTTTTCTATTTTATACAATTTGCCCACTTTTATAAACATGCACCATTACTGTCTAGAAGGGAAAATTAAAATGAAATTAATAGTTTCTATGGGAAATCAGAGCAACCCATAAATGCCTCAGCAGCACGTGATCAAAAATCAGTCAAAAAACAAACTGGCTGTGGAGGCTACGGCTTCTACAGTATGAAGGCAAACTCTAATAAGTCTGGTAGTCTCTGGATAAATGTGCAAAAATCAAATTGTATATAGCAAGAAAAATGTTCTTGGTAATTAAGAAAAATTTCCTGCAGAAATCCTGGCCACTGCTGGGATGTAACTTAGCACTTGGGAAGCCTAACACCTTTCCAATCTAAATGTTGGAGTTTATTAGCTAAAGGTCACGAAGGAAGGTACGTGACCTCCAAGGTGTGACGGGATATTTTGTAGTGATCCCCAGTGCAGAGCAAACATTTCAGATTTCTATAACATCAAGGCCCTATGATCTTTTCAAATCTTAAGAACACGCTAGTCATTAAATAAAAGGCAAGTCGAAGGCATCTGTAAATTAGCAAAGAATTATGCATATACGCACAAAAGAGACTCAAATAATTTAAAATATGCAAACCTATATGAACTAACTAGTAGCCACAGGAAAAATAAAGCATATGGATCATATCCTAATATATCCTGTGCTGCTTCTACCTCAAGCATGTCCAGACAAAAATTACACACTAAGCCGTAAAAAATTGTAAGGCAAAATTCAACACCAAAACAGTGCTTACCAACTGTCACTCAAGAAGGCGGTGAAGCAGCTTGCACAATGCACTATATGGAAGTAAGTAACCCTGGTTACTGTTTCCAAGGACACTGGGCTCTTGGCCAGCAAGTGCTGAGGTGAAGCTGAATGCAGTGTTGACTCATTTTAATAAACCTGCATAAAGAAAATCAATGCAACGGTATTCCACACTCCCCAAATCTTTATTGGTGGATCTAATAAAACATTTCCAGTACTAAACAGATACTGAAAGTAGTGAATACTCTTTATAGCAAAGGCTTTTTATTGATGTCTGCTGTATTTTCCCCTCGCACCTCCCATGGAGTGACTAAACCTATCATACTTGGTAAGGTCAGCAGTAATTATAACTTAGGAATTTTATCTGAGGCATTCTGGAATATATCTAGAAATGGAAGCCAATCTAGTTAACAGGTGAGCATACTTTTTGAAATGTCATCACTATGGACCACTGTGACAGAATAATAGTCCACACAGCATTTCCAAAAAATGTCTCTGCAATGTAAATTCTGTCAAACTGGGAGACATTTCTTGTCGCAAAGGTAGATTTTGTTATCATGGTCTATCATGGAATGTATAAGACCAATTAGAAGGCTGCTTGAAGTTTGGTGCCGTGTTGAAACCCTAGGTGCTGCACAGGCTAAAGTGGAACCCAGAGGCCTCAGGCAAAACCTGCTAGAAACCAGCCCACTTGTGTTGTCACTAACACCCACTGGCTCTGTGGAGGGCAAAGGTAACAATTCAGAGACAGCTGTCCCAGGCATTAGTAGCTGGAGATGGTATCATCTGGAGCAAATGAGAAAAACAGATTTACCTCATCAACAGTTCTCTGTGCACTCGGGCGTGCAGCCAGGTAAAGCAGAAGCCTCATCAATAGCTCGGGAATGAAAATGTCTCTACCTTTCTTGGAGTGGATGGAAGTAAAAGGTAGTAAGGTGGAACAAAACAATTTCCTCAAGTTTTGTCCTCAGGAGGGAGAATGATCTAATTAATTATGTGAAGCAGCAATTACACAGACAAAACCAACTCTTCCAGTTTACAAATAAAAACTAAGTCTAGGTCAGAGAGCTTAAGCCATACAAAGTGAAACACACAAGATTCAAAATCTCTTCGTGAAGCACGTAATTAACAATTGAGAGAAACGTGTGTCCTAGTTTGGTGGGTTCTTCCCAGGAATAACACAGTCTTTAACCACTTGGCTTTCCCCCCCCTGATTTTATGCATTCATTTTAAGTGGCAAAGAAAATTCCCTATACCAGAGAGCATAAGCCTTTTCCTTCTAAAATTCAGTGCTGTTTTTGAACAGTTTCCTGCCTTTGCTTCTAAGTCACGTGCCTCTACCACAAATACACACCTTACTTTTCTCCTTGCTAGGCCAGGAGCTCCATCTTCTAACCCTGAATTAATTTTGCGGTCTCTCACAGAGATACTGCGGTATTGGTCCCTGTGCAGTCATTTCTGGAAATTTGGCTAGAGGCCTCTGCAAAGAGATTTCATTCAGCTGGCTTTCCAAATCTCATCTGAAAAAGGTATCACGTTCACAGTCTGTGTGTGAGGTAAAAACAAGGCTTTCAGTGAAGGCGCCTAAGGGCAACGATATTCACCCCCATACACTGAGATTCAGGCCTCTGTCAAAATGAACATTCTTCTCACTGCAAAGTTCCCAGGCATGTTTTGAGAAAGTTTTCTTAAAAGTTGACAGTCTTAGAAATGAACGAAATGAGTAGAGAACTGGTTCAGTTGTGACAGTAAAGCTGGTAAATCTGCCCTCACCCACCTGCCATTGTCCAATGGAGAGAAACAGAATTTTTTCTATAAAGAGTATCAGTTTAATCACAATTTCCCCCTTTTTATTCATTTCAGATATTAAACTAAATGCGGATAAATGCATTCTACTTCACAGAACAGTAAGTGTTCTAGATACACACAAACACTGGCCCAAAACATCCTTCCAACCCCAGTCCTATAGCAATAATTTATTTTTCTTCAAATGTCAATTCTTCACAGTTTCAATACTGCAGCAGCAAATATTCCTTAGATAAAGAAAATTGTGGTACATGTTTTAAAACATCTTAAGAGAACTAGAGATAAGTTAGCAAACTTCCAGTGCAGTTTGGGTAGAGCAGTTTTACCGCGAATCCCAAAGACTGGCCTTGGGAACCTGGGGGCAAAGGTCGTTGGTGGGAAAGACTGGGAACTTCTGTAGCACCTCCTCCCCCGCCACCTCCTGAGGATTTCTTCACGTAGACTGATGGCGGTGGGGGGAGCTCTGCAGCATTCGCGTTCTGTTTATTGGTCCCTGTCACCCCAAGGGGTGTGGCAGTACTTCCCACAGGAGCTTTCAGGAAATTTCAGAGCAAATCAGGCAGGATGAGGCCGGGAGGCTTTGGTTCGACACAGTTGATCCAGAAATTGGCACAGCTGGCATGATACTGGTGTCCTCCATACGCCAGCTTGAAGCTGTCCGTTTCCGAGTTGAACGCCTGCCGGGAAGAAACAGACATGGGGGCCAGTCAGGCTCCCTCCACACCTGGGCACTGACCAGCAGCCGGCACGGACCCCTCTCCAGCTCACAGAGGCTGAGGCCAAACTGGCGCACACACAAAAGCTGAGCAGGTGGCTACAGGAATTCAAGCGAGAAAGTTTTTTGCCGCTAATTAAAGGTATAAAAATATCTTTACTGTTAAACCCAGTTTCAGCAAAAGGAGGCCAAATTGTTCCTAGAAAAGGCAGACAGAGGCTGTGGGGGTCGGCAGGGGTCCTGACACTGGACAAAAACAGCCACAGGCTGGGGATCATTTTGATCTCTCTGTGAAGAAAGCAGCCCTTCCCTGAGGCTGGCATTTCACTATAACATGCCATCCCTTAAGTTTCTGAGGCTGATTACAGTCCTATCATGAAAGCAAATGAAAGATTAAAGACTCTTAGGGTCTAATGCCATTCGGAGCTGATAACCAAACTGACATCATTAAAAAGTCCAAATAGGTATAGGATTTGTAAAAAATAAAGATGTTAAACACAGCAGAATGATTTCCAGATGAATAATGCTTACCGGTAAGTTACAGACAGCCAGGCCTAACCTCAATCACTTCCGGGGTGTTTTGTAAAGCTCAACAAGTAAACAAATAAATAAAGCTCTAAAACCCAAACCATTTGCTTTTGTCTGCTAACGGCCAGGTCCTGAAGCTCTCTGATCTCATTCTGTGTGTCACTACCACTTCATCTTCCAGAAGCTGCTCTTTCTGTTACCCTGTTCATCCCAGAGAAAAATAACCACAACACCAGAAGCCAACTATGAGCCACAAGCATGCACAGCAGATGGAAGTGGACCCACACGGACATGTTAGTTGACCGAATCAAACACTATGGGAACGAAAAGGACTCAGCAAAGGATCCATGATTGGAACAGCTCAGGATGGCAGTGGAATCATCGAATTTGCCTTCCACACTCAAAATTAAGATGGAGACGCTAAGATAACGCGTAACTGGTTCATACTTTTTTAGGATGTTCTTCTGCAGGCTTCTCTTCTTTCTGAAATAACGTTGAAACCATAAGGTCAACAAAATTCCCGGAACAGGGCCTCTGGCCTCCAAACGAGTCCTTACAGGTTTAACCTTTTCTCCTTGCCACCCCACTGTGCAGAGGGTGGGCAGGCACGTGCCAACAAGCCCGCTCCTTAGAAAGGCAGGAGCTGCCTCCACCCCTCGACAGCTCCCCCCCTCCCCCCGCCCCGCTGCCTCCACCCCTCGACAGCTCCCCCCCCCCGCTGCCCCTTTGAAAGAACATGTCTGCTTCTGTGGTCAGATTTCAGGGCTTGATAAACTCCCCTCCTCTGGTGACAGACCTTGCGGAGAAGGGTCAGATGGGACTGCCTCCTGGGTCGGTCAGGGAAGCAGCCCGTGCAGGGGAGGGGGGAAGGCGGGTGACTTACCCGGCTCCTGGAGTCCACGTTTAAAAGGCACACCCCACAAGCAAGCTCCTGAGCGTTTTTAATCCCGGGCCGTAGCATACAAGAGGAAAAATCCAGTGAATTTTCATCAGGCTGTGAGGACAAGACAAACGGGTAAGAAGCCAGGAATTCCACACGCTGCTGGTTTCACTCCCTGATCAAACATCCCAACAGGTCCAGCAGCAAATTCAGTCCACTCTCTACCACCACCAGTACAATTATTCCATTTCCCAGACGTTTACCGAGTACCTGCCCTGCTGTGTTCTAGTTGCTAGGGATGTTAGGATGAGCACAAAATGGTCCCTGTCCTCTGAGAGCTGTTTAGGGTCAGGGCGAGGTGGGTGTCAGGCCACACTGTCAGGCCACGAGACCCACACTAGGGGTAAGGACCGAGCGCCGGAGAACAAGGGGGAAGGGGTGGGGCACTTACCCGACTCAAGGGGAAAGGAGCGTGGTGGCAGAGAATGCTTCTGCGAACTTCGAAACACGGTGGCTGAGTCCTGATGGGTGTTTGCTAGGTGAAAGGGGTAGGGTAGGATGAGGTAGGGGAGGGAAGGGTATCTACTCTATGTAGAATAAGCAGCCTGGGCAGAGGCCTCTAAGCAAAAGATCAGGTATGAGAAGAAATCTAGGGAGCGGGAGCCAAGCTTACGGAAGGAGGGAGGAGATGAAACTGGAGCACGAAGGCCTTGAAAGGAATATGAGGGGTTGACACTCTACCCTGGGAAGCCCTAAGGGTTGTAACTAGATTGTGACAGGATCAGGTCTGTACTCTGGACAGGGCCCTCTGGTTGCAACGCAGGCAGGCACTGAACTGGGGGTCTGGGCCTGTTACAAGGCTGCAGCAGCGAGCCGGGAGACGGGTCCTGAAGGTCAGAACTGAGGGAGCAACAGTGCAGAATGGAGAGAAATGGACACATGAAGAGCTATTAAGGCCGAAGAATCAACGGGCCTGGCGGGTCTTAGATGTGCGAGGAGGGAAGGGGACTGGGCAGCTGAAAGGATTCACCCTGACGGGCGCCTGAGACGAGAGCCGGTCTGCGGATGGGGACTGGGGAGAAAAGTTCAATTTGGTACAAAAGCCGCGTCGAAGCTCCTGTGGGCAGCTGAGTTCTGATGCTACATGAGCAGGCAGACGGACATACAGGCCTAGCCCTCAAGAACCAGAGATCTGGATGCTATCGGCTAGGGAGAATAAATATATTAACAGCTAACAAGTCAAGTCTTTACCTGTGCTAAGCAGTACACTAGGCTCTTTACATACATTATTTAATTTATTCCTTACCAAAAAATCTATGAAATAGGGAGCGTGCCCAATGATTGAAAGCTGTTAATTTCTTAAAAGTTAAAATGCACATCTATTATATGAGCTTGCAATTCCTAGATATTTTTATCCGAGAGAAATGAAAACATGTTAACAAAAGTCTTATACAAGAAGTGTTCATAGCAGCTCTATTCATATTACCCAAAACTGGAAAGAGCATATGCATCTTTCAACAAGAAAATGGATTCAAAAACCATAGTATATTAATACATTGGAATATTACTCAGTGATAAAAGGGATCAAACTGATACACACAACACATGAATTTTTACAACATGCTATGTAAAAGAAGCTGACACAAGAATATATACACTACATAATTTCATTTATATTAAGTTCTAGAACAGGCAAATCTATGGTGATGGAAATCTACAGAAAATGGATCACTGGTTGTTTTTGGAATCAGATCAGGGGACTGACTGGGAAGGGGCAAAAGGGAACTTTAGGGGGTGATGAAAACACTCCATATACTGATGGGGTGTGTGCTACACGGTTGTGTGCATTTGTCAAAACTGGTCCAACTATATACATTTAAGATCTGTGCATTTCATTGTACATACCGTTATTCCTCAACTACGAAAAACACTTGAATAATAAAACAAGACAAAAACAACCAAAGAAAAGCAGAAAAACAAAGCAAAAAACCAGAATGGTAGAAAACATTTGCAAATGATGCAACCGACAAGGGCTTAATTTCCAAAATATACAAACAGCTCATATAACTCAATAGCAAAAAAACAACCCAATCGAAAAATGGGCAGAGGACCTAAATAGACATTTCTTCAAAGAAGAAATACAGATGGCCAATAGGCACATGAAAAGATGCTCAACATCACTAATTATTAGAGAAATGCAAATGAAAACTACAATGAGGCACCACCTCACACCGGTCAGAATGGCCATCATTAAAAAGTCTACAAGTAACAAATGCTGGAGAGGGTGTGGAGAAAAGGGAACCCTCCGACACTGTTGGTGGGAATGTAAGTTGGTGCAGTCACTATGGAAAACAGTATGGAGGTTCCTCAGAAAACTAAAAATAGAATTACCATAGGATCCAGCAATCCCATTCCTGGGCATATATCCAGACAAAACTATAATTCAAAAAGATATACACGCACCCGTATGTTCACAGCAGCACTATTTACAATAGCCAAGACATGGAAACAACCTAAATGTCCATCAACAGATGAATGGGTAAAGATGTGGCACATATATACAATGGAATAGTACTCAGCTATAAAAAAGAACAAAATAATGCCCTTTGCAGCAACATGGATGGAACTAGAGATTATCATACTAAGTGAATTAAGCCAGAAAGAGAAAGACAAATACCATATGATATCACTTATATGTGGAATCTAAAATATGACACAAATGAACCTATCTATGAAACAAAAACAGAATCACAGACATAGAGAACAGACTGGTGGCTGCACAGGGGGCAGGGGTTGGGGGAGGGATGGACTGGGAGTTTGGGGTTAGCAGATGCAAACTATTACATACAGAATGGATAAACAACAAGGTCCTACTGTATAGCACAGGGAACTATATTCAATATCCTGTGATAAACCACAATGGAAAAGAATGTAAAAAAAAGAATGTATATTATGTATAACTGAATCACTTTGCTGTACAGCAGAAATTAACACAACATTGTAAAGCAATTATACTTCAATTAAAACAATTAAGAAAAAAAAAGATTTTGGATTCTTAATGTGTGAAAGTTTGGTATACATGAACTGATTTATTTTTCTTATATATGCCCTAGAGCAGAGTTTCTCAAACTTGGCACCACTGACATTTTAAGCTGGATAATTGTAAGACGAGCTTAAAAGACCTGTAAGACCCGTCCTCTGCATGTAGGATCCCTGGCTAATTTGGGGCAAAACTGCTCCCCTCCCCGACTATTAAGAACTGACTTTCCAAAGAGGAAGACGTATGTGTGCACGCATATAAATACATATATACACATAAGCCCACACACGTATGTCAGCTGATTATAAATTTTACTGATATAAAGAATGTGTAGCACACAATTTACAAATAATAAAATATACCATCATCTTTACTGTAGATTCCACATAGTGTCTTGTTCTCACAAAATGCTTTCTTGGATTTTTGCCCAACTCTTAGATCAACCACCTTTGCTTGCTTTCCTGAAAGAGTG